GGGTACGTAGCGTTGCGCGTTACGTCATCGCGGAGGGGAGTGGCGGGGCGGGAACTCGCCTATTACGCGAGCGTTACGTTACCGCTGGGGAGGTAGGGGTCAACATGTCACACTATGTTTACTCTATTTGGTAATGTGTTTAGTTTTCTGGATGAAATATTTTTTCTTGCCCATCCATGTTCCTATGTCCCCTGTGTAATGGTATATTGGTACTTCATCAAATGTGGGATGCACTTGTTTCAAGCTATGATTTGAGTGAATATGATCTCTACTGATTTATGACATTAAATATTTTGTGTATGGAATGTTCTTATAGCTTCAGTAATATGGATGAGAAATATTTTACCTTCATAGATCAGTAAGCATATGGTTATAATTAGAATGTTTCTGAATTATCAGTTGTATTGATTGGCAGTCTGAATAACATACTTGACATTTTGTAATACACTGGTTTTTATTTTTTGCAGACGTTCTTCAGTAGGTACGTTCATCAGACCACATTCTTCCTCATCAACATTTTCTGACACCCGCCCTCATCAGTCAGCTGCACCAAAACTGGACTACCGAAGTATGGTGTCAGTTGATGATATGCCAGAGCTGTTTGTCTCTTTTGACAGTAAGTACATACAAGCAGAGTTATGTTGGCTGCCCATTATACAGATCCCAAACATCTTCTCTCACCCTGGTCTGCGACAAATAACATAATTCTCCATTACATTTAAAATATGATTATGTGTGCGTATGTGAAGAAAACAAGACGGCTTGAAATACCATTTTACAATTTTACATTTGAGATTAGTTGTTATGAAGTCTAAAAATGACATATTTCAAGAAGTCCACTGATCTGTGGTATTATGACTAAAGAAGTAAGGTTTTTCTTGAAGTGAGCCCAAGTCTGAAAATGGTTGGCTTCTGATTTTTGTCACAGACATAATCCCTGAGGATTTTTGCCATTTTCATGTCAGCACTTTTTATTATTCAAAAGGCGTAGTCTTGCGTATGATCTTAAAATTTCACCACATGTTATCATCATGAAAATTAAAATATGAAACAGCAGTTTTCAAGATTTTCATGCTGCTGTTCTCTTGATAACACCTGTCACAGAAGACTGTAGGGTTACTTTGTAGTATAATTCAGGAAATATGGGAAGGTATTTTTCATTAACTTTTAATGAATTATGTATATGATTTCTGTTAATCGTTTGTAGATTAAGTTGCTCCTTTGAATTTCTGAGCAGGTAGTAGAAGTTATGAACGATGTGTAAGTTTTTTGACTGGAGTCAGGGATTTTACAATCTTCAGCCTGGACACTTGGGAATTCACACTTTGAATACACCTATTGGGTGTCGTCGCTATGTGTTTTCATGTGTTCTTATTTGCCCACATTATATCCCACCTTTATGAAGAGAATAAAGTGATGCATTGAATTATCTATATCAAAGTGGAATGTTGTGATAATTAGACCTTCTGATATGAAAGAAAATGTAAAATTCATTCTGTAAGCGATAAGCAAACAGTATAATAATAACATAATGCCATCAAGTCAACTGATGTGTCAAAGGATCATCTCCCTTCCATCTGCAGGGTTGAATGTAATAACACATAAAGTTGGTTTACATACAACTAACTGATTTAGTTTTATAGGGCTTAAAATACATGTTGGGTGCTCATATGTATATTTGCCTCTTTGACCCTATAAATACATGTTTCCAAGTAAACTATTGAAATTTAAATGTAGTTAGTGCTTGCTGAAGTAAGATAGGAAGGTGAAGTTGTTCCTGTGCATAACTTAAGCATCTTGCCATGATGAAATTGGGAGGTTGGATGCGTAGTTCCATTCTTAACCTTACCCTAGATGCAGGAGAGGAGTCAGCCTAATGTACTTGTCACTTTATCCCTTGAGAAAGGGCCCGTAGTACTCATGGTAACAAGGAAATTGTGTTGTCATCGAAATCTGTCTACATGTTCAGGCCAACCATTGTATTGTCGACAAATGATACTCTTCAAGATGTAATATTGTCAGTTGTGTGTGCTTTCCTGAAGTCCAGAGGTCTAGTTTAATATTCTGAAATGCTACTTGAGTCAGAAGTTGAATTATGTTTCACAGGAAAGCATCTTGTGAGAAAATATGCAACCCTTGTCCCAGTAGCTAGTAGAATCTCAGGTGGATATCTTAGTGGTGATCTTTTTATGAGAAACTGTAAAAGAATAGTTTTGAATTGCAGCCAGTGTATCCACCCACATTTCTCTCTAAATCCATGATTGAAAATTACACAACCTGAGTAGACTTTTCTCCCAGCAAGTTTTTTGGCCTGCAGGAAAATTAATTTTGAAGTCAATACAGATGCTAAGGTGCCTAACCCATAAAGATACAAAGAAGAGACATTCCATTATATACATATAACAGGTCTGACATGGCTTAACGAGTGCTTTAAAAGAAATATTTTTAGGTGAAGAATATTTTTGCAAAATTTCACTGTACAGTAAAAAAAATCCATTCACTGGACTTTATCAAATGATGAAAATTAATTAATTAATTAATATATATTAATATTTATTGATCACGTTAATATCCACATCTTTAACATATATGATTGTGCCTATTTTTTTGTTCAGTTCACAGTTCACAAGAATGTACATATATATACGCATACATTAATAGTGCAGTGTGATAACATTGCCTTTGTATGGGCACTCTCCCATCTTAAATATTCTCTCATATCACTGATCAAGTGGAAACATTGTAACTTCAGTAATGTCCTAATAAATCTGAGAATTTTAAGACCTGAAGTGGAGTTCTATTAGGCCTGCCTGACAGCAGATAAATGTATTGCACTGGACAGGGTGTAGCAAACATATACAGGATTGTACAATAACTAGTAAGTGACAGTTGATAATGTGGGCTATTTGGAAAGTAACCTCCGGTGAGCTATTAACAAAACAAGCAAAAAGGAAACGAAATTTATTATGTACAAAAAATACATACATAAGCTACTTCTCAACATAGGCACTGCCATGTGGGGGATTAAGTTTTTGTATGCCGCTGTCAAAGAAATCTGCTGTCTGTGAGCTCAGCCATGTTTTGACACCTTCCATCAACTCATTATTGTTGAAGCGCTGTGATCCAAACCAGTTCTTCAGGTGGGTAAACAGGTGGTAGTCAGAGTGAGATCAGGGCTGTAAGGCGGGTGGTCAAACAGCTCCCAGTTGAAATGCTTCAGCAGTGCTCAAGTGTGAACTGCTTACGCGCATTGTCAGGGGAGTACTGGGAGTACACTGTATGTCAGCATTCTACCCCTTTTGTTTTGAATAGCCCTACACAATTTTTTAGTGTTTCACAATGCACTTCTGACATTATTGTGGTCCCTTGTGTTAATTCCACCATCAGCACTCCTGTCCAGTCCAAGAAAACAGTTGCAGTCAGCTTTCTGGCAGACAGCATTTGTTTAAACTTTTTTGGCCCATTTGGTGAATATATGTGCATTCACTGTTTTGACTGCTCTTGGCTTTCAAAATTCAGGAATGAAACCCAGGTTTCATCACCTGTTGCTCATTTGATATGATTGAGAAATTCATCGCCATCTTTGTGGTATTGCTCAAAAAAAGTCAAAGCCGAAGCCGTTCTCTGCATTTTATGTGCTGCACATGTGAACATTTTCTGAACCCATCTTGCTCAGAACTTATAATAGCCTAGCCTAACTGTGATAATCTCGTAGAGAAGAGTGGAGAAATTTATGAATTGCAAGGCACTATGCTACAAGTCGGAAGGTCGTGGGCTCAAATACTGAGGAGGTCATTGGATTTTTTCAGTTGACCTGATCCTTCCGGCCGCACTATGGCCCTGGTGTTCACTCAGCCTCTAACAGAAATGAGTACCAGGAATTAAATAATTTTCCTGGGGAGTAAAGTGCGGCCGGCGTGTAAGGCTGACAACCTTACCGCCATCTTTGAGCCAATTATCTAGATAATGTGGGACCCTCAATGTCTCACAACCCTATGGGCCTTCATGGCCTGTTACAGGGATAGCTTTACTTTTTACTTAGGACACATCATAACTCACCCTGTAGAGACAAGAACAAACACTATGTGACCATTTTTATGATGATTTACAATTCAGTGGGTCATGTGACACTACCTTGCATGCAGGAGCTCTCCCCCCTCTTATATTAGTTGCCTAAAATACATGGAGGTTACTTTCTGAATAGCCCTTGTAAGAAGACTGACACATCAATCATCTCGTTCATTCAAACACATTCTCACAGGGAACTAACGTAGTTAATTTGGTTATTATTTAATTAATGTTAAAATTTTTAAACGAAACTAATTGTTTGATATTTCTTTCTCTTTCTTTCTTTTTTTATTCATTTTTCTTTGTTTTCAATGTAGTCCATGCACCCAGTTTTCCTCTACTTGAAGGTTTGGGTAGGTGTTCACACCTTACTGTTATTTGTTTGTCATTGTGATTGTGCTGTGTGTTTGGTTGATTGTATGTATACCACAAGTTCCATGATTCCTTCTTGTATATGTACTTCTGTTATGAGGAATGACTGAAGTGACACTTGTAACTGCATTGTTATAACCTGATGACATACAGATTCACTGCACATGTAGTTTCATCTTTAATAATGTTGAAGGGTGCTAATATTTCTATTTAGAACTTTTAAATACATCATCTGTAGCTTACAAAGTTGAAATTATTTAACATTATGTGGTCAGTTCTTCAAGATGTATAAAACTGTTTTGAAGTGTTGTTATATACAGATATATTCTAAGACCTGAACATATGCATTTTCCTAAGGGATTATCTTTAATTTCCTAATTAAAATGTCCTATAGGTGGCCTACAAAGAGTCAAGTTGAAATCATTTGGGAGGCTGGCAGTACAGTCCCGTGGTATAGAACTGAATGTCATATTGTCTACTTAACTGAAGCAATTTCTGACTGACCTTTGGGAAGGAAGTCACTCAGCTTGTCAAGAAATTAATTACCCACCTTTTATTAAATCTGAATGGTCTTTACCAGACTCACACAAGTCAACCAATAGACTCATCCTGAGCCACATGAATCCAACACACATCATGACACTTTATTTCTTCATGATCCATTTCAGTAGAATCGCCCATCTATTCTTATGTCTTCCAGCTGGCCTCTTCTCTTTAAGTTTCCCAACCAAAATTCTGTATTCACTTCTAATCTCCTGTGTGTACTACTATCCATTATGTCTTGGTCTTCCTTGTTGGATTTGAAGTTCTCACAGCACTGAATATGAAGAGCGCTGTGTTCTGTGGAGTAATGCTATGTAGTCAGAAGGAGCCATCAGCGTTTTAGAGGAATATACGCTTCCATCAAAACTTTCAATCAATCTGCTTGTCTTACTCTTCAAACCCTGAAGATGGAAGCGTATATTCCTCTAAAACGCTGATGGCTCCTTCTGACTACATAGCATTACTCCACAGAACACAGCGCTCTTCATATTCAGTGCTGTGGGAACTTCAAATCCAACAAGGAAGACCAAGACATAANATGCAAAGTATAACAGTTAATTATATGTGTCTTACTTTTTTCAAATAGAATTTCTTTTTGCCCTAAATGTTACCATATTTGTTTTCTGATACCGTTGTAGCAGGAAGTGATCATGAATTTGTGGTATGCCTATTTCTGGGGTAGAGTTACACATATATGATCTATTTGGCACAAAAATAAATTTGAAGTTGTGTTCAATCCTCATTGCTTGTAGTTCCTGCAATATATTCTCTTGTTGATAATTTTAATTGTCTGTCATATACCTTTTAAGGAAGTATATTCTTTATTATGTCTGTCTGCAGATTATGTAACTGACTGTTACCTGTGAGGTTACATTATTTGCTTTTTTGCTTCATGTGTTAAACTGTTTGTTTTTCTTGATATTCCATAACACATTGCAGTGGTATGTTGATGGTGAATGGTCTGGCACAGAAATAAGTATTGTTTTTATTTTGTTCAATAAACAGAGTTTTGGTGTGAAGATGCTTTCTAAAGGTTACTGTTTATAAAATAAGGTAAATCCAATTAAACCTGTATACAAGGCTTATAGACACCTGAAAGAATTTTCACTATTGAAAGTTTTTGCAAATTGTCTTTGGTGTCATCCTCCAACATGGACCATATAAGGAACATACAGTAGCATATATTAAATTCCACACATTTTGCAGGATACAGATCAAGCCTTTCTGTGGACAGAAGTGTGACTTTATGGGCAAAACAAAAATATTTTAGGATTATGAAATAGAAAATTTTTAGCTGGAATACTCACTATGTCACAATATAGAGTTTCAGTTGGAGGCTATAGCAATGAATATATATATAATGATTCTGCCAGCATACTCTTTTAGTGTCCTTTTCTAATCAGATCTTTCATTTCACCTTACAGTTTTGTTGGTTTGGTCATTGTTTTGATGAAGATTGTTGACTGAGTATAGCTGGAATGAAGATTATTCAAGGATATAACTCATGATATTAAATTCTGAAAAAGAGAAATTTAAATCGTTAATCAGAAAGGTAGTAAAGTTTAATGTTAAACTTGTTAACTGGCAAAAATTATGTAAAATAAAGCTTTACTTTCTAAATTTTGTTCTTAAGTGTTACTGAATATGAAATTGTTTAGTAATGTGTTTTCTGTATTACTGATTATTGTTTGTGATAATCTGATGATTCTTATGCTGAATCTATGAAGAAAATTATTTCAGGAGACATTTACCTCTGAACTGTAGTGGCACAATCAAGAGCCTTCAGTGTTATTCATAAAATACATTTATTGGCATAGTAATGTGTATTTCTGAAAGTCATAGTTCAGAACTTGATCAGTATAGGAGTTACAGATGTATTCCATGCTGTTGTCATGCTGATAAACTGAAATTCAGCATGTAAAGTTAACAAACTACCAGAAATCGGCAACTGTACCAATAATGAATTGCATCTTCCCTCCAGGCCTGTGTGTGTGACTTCCCCTGATGCCAGTATTGAGCATGTGAAGTATGAGTGAGTTGCAATGTTCTACCCCTTGGTATCAGTTTCCATTCAAATAGCATTGCATGATTTTTATTCATATAACACATTAATTTGATTAATATTTGCATAATCATTCATACAGATCATATTACAGTATAAATTATCGCACCATGCAGGTACTGTAGGAAAATAGATCTCTCCCTAATATCATCACATCTCATTCACATTGAAATCAATGAGAACTGCAGCAGTGAGCTTTAGGTACCTCGCCACACATACTGTGAATAATACTAAAACCTTGTTTAAAAATTTTTGATGATGATGAGGACCTGGGAAGTTTAAACATCTTTAGATACCTCGCCACACATACTGTGAATGATACTAAAACCTTGTTTAAAAATTTTTGATGATGAAGAGGACCTGAGAAGTTTTAAACATCTTTGACCCTCTAGTCTCTCTCACCCTCAAAATGTATGAGCATACAAGTAAAATTTCAGTCCAAAAATTAACTTCATATAATCTTAAAGGCATTAGGATTCTACATGGTTTATTGAGTGCGTCGGTTAGATGATGACCAGGGCCCAGATTTTGATGATATATCATCTTTCTTTCCTTGTATCCTATGTGATGTTCTTAAATATATAAATCTCGGATATGAGCTGCTGGTTACAGAAATGTAAATTTATTAGGTAATTTTTTGTCATTTTTTGACATTTTTAGGTTTAAGGTAATTTTTTTTCATTTTTGGGATAAATATTTGGTAAATTTTTGGGCTTTTAAGGGTATTTCTTGTCATTTTTGGCCAATTTAGGGAATTTTCTTCATATGTTTTTTGAAATGTGAATAATATGGAAGCGAAGTGTTCTTTCTCTTTCTCCTTTAGGTCATTTTTCTGGATTTTTCGGTCATTTTATAGGTCATTTTTTAAATATTTTCAGGTCATCAAAATCTGGGCCCTGATGATGACTTATGTTCCACAGAATTCTCTGAATCTAGTGCAGTACTTTTTTCCCTGATTCTTTTAAGGTATTCAGTAAGCAACAACTGTTACTGATGAAGCTATGTGGGGAACTTTCTTTAAAGAGGGAATTTGATATTATTAGTCTCTCGCAAGTCCCTTATGGTTATGGAATGACCATTATAATATACAATGTGTTTTCTTGCAGCACTGTTAGATTGGAACATAGTTCATTTTAGTGCATAACACATGTGATCAAGAAGCTCTTCATCTCCTTTGCATTTGTTACAAAGCTAACTGCTGACAGACTTTATGTACCTAAAATGCAGGGTCATATTGAACAACGAAAGATAATTCTGTCCTCAAATGTTCAGAATTCAGGTGTTTATATTGCTTATTTTCTTAATTTAAATCGATTTGAATGACGTTCTGAATCTTTGTAGAGAGAATAATTAACATTTTAACACATTCTGATGGTTTGTCCAGTTACACATTAGAATATAGACATTTTTTATGCTGTACTTACGAACTCAGATTTCCTTACTACAGTTAGATCCTCCTATCAGTTATAACCAAGTATAATTATGGTTTTAAAATCACTATATTTGTATTTCAGTGCTGATTTTCCAACACAGGTAGTGAAGCTGTGCTCCCTCATTTTGTTAACAGAATTGATCCCAAGACCAGCTAGGTCATGTGAAGACCCTCCTCTGTACTTAAGACTTCGTATGGGGAGGCCAATCAACAAGAAGATTCCAAAGTCAACACCCATTATGTCATATGGAAAAAAGAAGATGAGGCCAGAATATTGGTTCAGTGTCCCACGTAACAGGTGAGGTGTAATCTTATTATCATGTGTCAGTGACTAGACATGGGGTTTGGACTGATAATTGGATTTGTTGAACACTTACAACTTGTAACTACAGATCATTATAATACCCTCACCAGTCTATGCACTTTACAAATCACTACAGCACACTCTTAAATCTTAGTCTATTACAGTCTTCACTGGTTGTTGCTAGGTAGCGGTTCCCAACAGTGGATATTCCTCTGCTTCCCTGCTCATGTCCTTATGAGCTGACAACTCCTGATTCAGCTGAAACTCGTGACAAACTGATTGACTGACCGACCAACTTGCCCACAGAGTGATTCTTGGTTCTGAGTCCCAAGGGGCAAGGGACTGAATTTTGCTTTCTGATGGCTCCAGGATCTGAGAGATACTCTCCCCACTGACTAATGACTGGCTACAGAATTTTTGCTGGCCTTTGCCAGCACAGCGATTCTTGGTTGTGAGTCCCATGGGACTCATGACCGTATTTTACTGACTGACAGCTCTGGGAGCCTTCCTGGCAGGCTCCTAGTTATATAGCCTTGGCACAGATGACATAGAAAATATCATTTCCAAAGTGTCTCTGTTGTGTGCTGATTCTCCAGTGGTTCCTCTATTGTGTATTTATTCATTGACGCAGAAATTTGTTGAGGTTGCCGTTGCCTAGCAATGGCTGTCTCTTCTGTCTGTAATGTCACAATATGTTACTGTTTTCAGCAAAATAGTGTACTACATCTAATTTAAACTACGTAATTATTTTGGTTAACTACTTGAGCATGTAGTAATGTTCTCCCCCGTCCCCTCCTCTCTGACTTTTCATTCCTATTTTCTGTCTGCCTTCACATGTTCCTTTCTCCTCCTCTGCTGTCTACAAGAAAACTAAATTGGGTTGTTTCAAGTGGTTCCCATTTTGATGATGTGGTAAATTACAGAAAGTAGAGCTGACTTTCATGTTAGAACTCAGTGCTTACATAAAGCACATGCTCACACTTCAGGTATGCTGAACATTAACAAGACTGACAGAGTGGTATGCTGTACAGAAAATTTAATAAAGCATTTAATTCTCAGAGATAACAGACATTTATCTAAGAAACAAAAGGATTTTAGCCTGCTGTATGCCAAAGGTATGGCTAGTGTATGGAAAGGTAAATTAGCAAAGCCATGTCCTTACCTTTATATAATGTACATTCTTTTACTCAGTTACAAATTTAGAGCATTAACAATGTCACTTGCAGGGTGGACGACTTGTATAACTTCCTTCTTCTCTGGGTTCCACATCTGTATGGTGAACTGGAAGAAATGGACCCTAAGTCCCGAGGTTATGAACTTGTAGAATCAGACACAGAACTCTGGGAGGATGAAGCAGGCGAGTCTGGTCCAGCTGGGAAGGATGAACGTAGGGCATCTGATGAAGGAGAACTGACAGAACTGACACGTGAATCTTGGGAGGTAAGTAATGTCACTATAGTTATTTCATATTTATTAGAATATTCCAGAGCTCTGTGCTTGTTGGTATGTTTATTTTGTCTGCCATTTGGTTTCAAAAGGAAGGCCATTGTTTTTTAACTTTCATTTGAAAATTATTTATGACAATTCATATGTCTCTGCACAGAATTCTTGTTTGATACAGGGGGAATGTTGCTTGTTTCATGATGAACTGTTTTTGAAATCTCATATTTTTGTTTTTGCATATTATTATTATGGACTGTTGTTTTTACTAATCACATATTACTGCTCTGATTTAAACGAAGCATATTTTGAACTTTTGCAGCTATATGCTAAGAAGGGTGATGTACTGCAGTTGAAAAACTAATGGTATATTTGTGATCTGACTTTGATAATAATTTTTCCCATTAATTCTGCATTAAATTCATGTAGCTTTTATGATTTCATGCAATTACACACATTGTTAATCATATTTAATTTAAAACTTACGGAAATTTATTGAAATTGCGTATCTGAAAACTCTGCACCTTTGTCATTCACAATCTTTTTTATTTGTAATTCACCTCCAAACAATAATCATGAAATTTTTTGGACAATATTGGCATGGTGCTTTTTCACAACTTTCATACTATCTAACCGACATCTGCTGTGTCACAGTCCAACTTGGCTTGCACTTTGCTGAGGTACCAGCAACATCTTACAAAGTTCACTGTCTTTCTTCTTGGTACACCTGTGCCTCTCAAAAGACAGATAAGTGATGTTGACCATATAAGTGGAAGTGTAACGGCAAGGAATTGAGAAAAGAATAATACATAATTCACTATAAAGGTACATCCATATATTTATCAGAGTTCATGAGTTTATTCATGAATTTCACTATTCATAATCATCTCAGGAACATGTCCTTCACAGTCACGGAGGTATGCCTTTATATAAATTTGATGACAAAGGAAGGGTACCTTTTAACAGAGTAAGGGCCTGGACGTGTCATCATAACAGGCAACACTAGATATTTTGTTCACACTGTACTCTTCTGCGAAAGGATTACGTGTATACTAGTTACTTTCTACTTAATGTTAAGTACAAGAAGCTATACAAAATAAGCTGGAAACATAGAATTTAGGCATAGTTTTCAAGACTTGGTTCAGGCTACATAATTTTTTTCTTTAGTTCCTGTTTGTTTATTTTTTGCATAAATGCATGAAATGACTGCATAATGAGAAGGTTTTGTACATCTGCATGTTTCATTTCTGAAATAACTCAGTGGATTTCAATTGAACTTGATTTTGTGGGATCTGCTCTGAAAGTTTCTGGTGAAATTTAATTTCAGTCTTATCATATGAATTGAAGCATTGTCATAATAATACTAAGTCAGAAATTCAGGTGTATATCTTTATTCACAAGAAAGTAAAGAATAAAAATACCCCTATTGTTGCAGTTGATATGTTTGATAGACTATAATGTTCCATACGAACTTGTTCTCTTTCGTATCGTGTCATCACAAGCTGCAGTGGCAGTATTATGTGACACGTTCAGGGTTCACTGTTACAGAGCACAGTTGCTGATAACAGGCGTGACTCTTCTTAGATTAGTGTTGTTGCCATAGAACATTGTAATGTTAATAGCTGTATGTAGTTACTTTGGCTGCATCTTAGTTCTGCTCCAGAAGTTTTACTTCTGTAAATTGATTACAGTGTAAAGGATAAAGACCTCTGAAAAGTAATGGATTTGTTTTCATCATATAAGGTGTTTCACATGATCATTAATATTGCATCTGATTTTGATGATAATTTTTGGATAACCATAATACAGTGACTGTGATTATAACAATATAACTGATGTAACAATTATGATGATGGTAAGAATTTTGTCATTTTGTTAATGTTACCATCATTGTCACTTCAGCTGGTTTATAAAGTACACAGATAGTTTTAAACAGTGCCACCATGAAGTAAAGTAGCATATTATGGTTCTGCCTGATGTGCTGGGAGGAGCAACCAACTCTTCCACCTGAGTGTGTGCGTGCATAAAATTCATGGTTTACTATAATCCAAATTTACCATTCAGAATTTACATTAATTTTATTCTGTGTAGAACAGAAATATTGCTTCAGTTCTGACAAATTTTGGCTTTGTATTGTAGTCTGGTTAAAGCTTTCTTTGGCATAATTATTATATAGTTTTGAGTGCAGAAATAACGTCTGTAACCAGGGAATTTAACATAAAATTAATTTCTTCTTGTATAATTAACATTACATCCAGATTCCAATTAAAAAAATTTGAGTCTGTCTTTGCTACTTGAATCAGACCATATTGTCGCACAGTATTTCCTCAAGCTAGACAAATATTTCCTCCCATGTATGACTAGATCTTCCAAATTGTCTTGTCATACCTTCAGATTTTCTGACCAAAATATTATGCATTTTTCGTTTTCCCCATGAATATTACATGCCCCATCCAGCTCATCCTCCATGGTTTTATTACCCTAATAATTTTGCTGGAGAGTATGAATTATGAAGCTCCTCATTATACAATTTTCTCCGCCCTCCTGGTATTTGTTTAGGTTGAAATATTCATCTAGGTCTGTTCATAAGGTGATGTGTACCCAGGAAATTGAATGTACAAATCAAATTATATGACGAATACAAAAGTTACTGCAGAGTTCCTTAGTATCCTTAATGAATCATGTGACCTGTGAAAGAGAATGATGGTGCAATAAGAGTTACAAGCTGAGGTGCTGCTCTGTTACCTTAATGCTGCCTGTTTTTCTTGTTTTCCTGTTGGTGCATACGCGTGGTGAAGGTGATCAAGGCCCCCTATGCTAAGCTGTACACTATTTTGAAGACCCAAACTATGTCCGAGTCTGAGAGCGAGCCAGTGGGTGAGGAGGTGGGCGATGTTGATTAGTTGGTTTGTGGCGATGAGTATTCATACTGAACCTGAGGAAGTGACCAATATGAAGTCAGCTGAATGCGGCTATAACTTCTTTAAGTGATAGTTCAGACTCTGTAGTTTCATATGAGTTTTTGCGACTTCATAAATACATATTTTATATTCCTTTTTTCCAGTCACCTCCTAACAGTAAATTATTTTTCCACATCACACCCAAGTATATAAATGTTACATAAACTGTGGAACAGATGTTCTGTCCTGTAATCCATGCTTTAAACTTTTGCCACTATAGTAGATTTTATCTTTTGGTAATAAGACTTACAGATTCAAATTATTTACAATTTGAAACTTTGTGTAATTTAGATTCTGTTCTATACATACCTAATTAGAAGCCCCAATACTCATTCCATAATGGTATTGGCTGTTATGGCTGACATGTAGAATTTTCGTGGGTTATGGACTTTGGTGGCAAATTTTTAGTAATCCTGTGAACTGCAATTCAGTATTATGCTGTTTATTATAAGATATTTCTAAGATGGCAGAAATGCGGTGAAGTGTCAGTATGATGAGCAGTGTGATGTACCTGATTTTCAGTTTTATAAAATATTCTTTAGCAGTCATACTTTTCATAAATATGCAGTGTTTTCTTTCACTGTTACAAAATTCTGTTATATGAATGTTTAAATTTGGTAAATTTAATGAAATAACTTTGTCATCTTGACTGGCTACAGGCCAGATAACTGGATTCAGTTCCTTATAGACAGTGACTTTTCACTACTGCATATAGATTGGCTTTGGAGCCCATGTATCCTGTCTGGTGGGTACTCAAAACTTTTCTTCTGGGGATGAATTAACTGAGGCGTGAAGCTAGTCATTCACCCCAATCTGATGTTGAGCTTAAGAAAACGTGGATCTATACCTATAATTAACTGATACATAGTTTTATTAGAAGGCACATGTTATCAGTCTGAAGCAGTCAAGATGTTAATGACTGCAACACAATGCTATGATCAAGCAAATAGCAGTTGCTTAGTGAAGAGTGAAAATTATGAATGAAATATTTGTGATGTTGGCCAAATTTTGTATTGTGCAAGGCAAAACTATTTTCATACATCACCACTTCAAACAAATCTGCTAGGAATACATTGCATGGACGTTTATGCAAAAAAATAAGGATATTTTAGGTGATTTCTTTGATTGCAGTGGGAACCTTGTTCATTCCTGAGCAAATGTAGTGTTGTGTAATTGATATTCTGGTGCCCATGTTTCCAAGTGTAAGCTACTTCAGGGTCACTTTCCAGGACTGTGGAAATGCTCATGCCATGTTATTGTCCTCACTAGCGCAGTTAGTGCAGATAATAGATGGTAGCTCTGCTCAGCATCTGTTGTAGTGTTAGTCCCTCCTTGTGTCTGAATAGTCTGTGTTTGCACCCTTCTCACCACACAAATTCTCTTTGCTTCCATTTAGATAGTAGTATGTTCTGTCTTGCATCTCTCTAGACTAGTATAATTTGGCACATGGCGCACTTTGCACTGGATGTCCGTAATGCTTCTTGATGTAGTTTGGGTTTCAGATGAGAAGATGCAGCAATTTATTATTTTGTGTTGAAAGGAATTACTATATGTGTAAGGAACACTGTATAGCATATCCAGGTACTTTTTTTTTGCACATTAATACTGATAATTAAATGTGTAATTGGATGTGAGTATAGTGTCATCAGTACTTCATATACTAATGCGTGATCCATTAAGACATGCAACATACAACTCAAGATTTTATATGTCAACCTTTATTAGTGGTTGATAGTGCTGTTTCTTATTTCTTAATATCCTGCTTTCTGCTCTTTTTCCATGTTAAGAAGACTTAACATTATATTAGTATGTGGGGCACAGTTGTGCATCTTCAACAGAAGTGTGGGCATCTATGAGAAGTCCATAAAAAAAATAGAGTTTCAGTGTGGTGTTAATGTACAAACCCACTGAGAAATCAACGGGAAGTTTGTTATATAACTCTTCATACTATTGGCTCCTGTGCTTTCTCCAGTATTCCTTCCCAGTCCACCAAGCCCAACATTTAACACTGTCTAACATGAATAACATGCACATATTGTACCCATATTTTCAAGATATTAAGAAGATGCAGGGATCATGTGTGCTCATTTACAATGTTGTGAACTAGTGAAACAGTGCATATTGTGGCATGTGGACCCATTGCCAAGCAATGACTCTGTAAGCAGTGATCGTTTCTGGGCAGTGGCTCGGTAAACACGTTCCCGTTGCCAGGAAGCAGATGGTTAATAATGGGACAGATGCACACAATAATAGAAGAACTGTTTTCTGTGTGGTCCATGCTTAGATGTTATAATCAAGGGACAAAGTTAGATATCATTTGAGTTTCATACAGGAGGCTGTGATGATAGGATATGAAAGCATGAAGCTGAAGAATCTCCACTGTTAGCCACTTCCAGGGAACAGCTGGTGAAGACACAGGCTGGAAAAGGCTTTGTGGGTGCTATGGTGATTTGTGAATGTGGAGATTACTAGTGACGCTGTAATTACTTGTAGTTCTGAGTCATGTGTATAAGTGGTCAATAAATCCATTCATCAATCCAAACCCCGTCTATAGTCACACATACTACATGACAACGGGTGTCGTAAGTAGTTGGATTGGACACTGCATTGGATCTTGATCGTTAAAGGGCTACACTATGAAAGTGGAACAAATGATGGCACAGCTGCTGGCTGAAATAAGAACCGACCAAACAAAAAGAGATGCCAGCCAAGCAAAAACGGACACCAGTCGAAAGAAAATCAAATTCGACTTACTCGACCTGAGAGACGACAAGCAAACGTGAACAAACTGACTTTCAAACTGAAGGGCATAACACGCATTATCGGTTGATTTTTTAATGACCGTTTTTGAACTGCCACGATCCAGCTTTTCAGTATTTAATTTCCTGCTTTTGTATTCATTGAGATGGAGAGCGAGAATGATCTGCAGTATTTTTCGCATGACTGTGTATACCATATTGCATATATCTGAAGCTTGCTGTACTTTGTTTGACTGCCTTGAACTTCTGACAAAGGCACTGTGAATATTAGTCAACTTTGCATTTGGTACTGGAGATTTTCTTATGTGTTTCACATTCAAAATGTTGCCAGTGCCCACGAATGTCACTTCAGTCTGTACTGAATTCACGTTAGATCATCCAGTACTCCCAAGGTAATTAATGCTGCACGGTAAAATCTGACTCAATTCTGCAAATCAGTTGACTAAATGAGCGTTTTTTTTTTGTGGAGCAGCCATTTGCTGTCTAGCATTGAAAAATAAGAAACGTTAAACAGACTCTTTGAGTTACTCTGTCTTAGAAAAGCCAATCATGTATATTATGTGTTTTGAGTTCTTGAATGTCTTAATACATCGTGGTCTTCATGGCCACACTGTACGTTATGAAATATTGTCAGGTGATAAGAGTGACTCTTAGATGGGGTGTTGGATTGTTAAGTGGATTTCTTCAACTCTTACAGATCCGTGACTACAAGTAATTACAACCGTTTTACTAATTCTCGCCCTTTTCTGTTCACAAGAGCACACACTTAAAGTCTTCTCATCCTGGAGCGCCTTCACCTGTTTTCTGGTAGCGGGTTCCAGTGCGGACGTTCCCCTTCCTCTGGGTTCCCAAAATGTCCCGTCCTTAGCTACCAGCTTCTCACAGCAACAGCTCACTACCGAACCCCAGCAGCCCTATAACTCACTCATTCACTAACCAGCTACTCTTCACCAACTCACGCCATTCCACTGACTGTCCGGCTTATAATGTCTCGGCACGGACCGCACAGAAAACACCGTTCCTCTGTTGCTCTTTACGGACCGTTGCCTAGTTGTTTGTTTCGCAGTCGTTGCCTAGCAATGGGTCTACAAGACATAATATGTTACTCTGGCAAGTCTATGTATTTGTATAGACATATCTTGTGTCCAATATAGGATTATTTGGGCATTGGACACATTTTTTAAAGAAAAGTTTATGGAATGTTGAATCTTTATTATCGCTCCTTCCAATCACTGGAAACGTTTCTCAAAGTAGTCATCTGTAGCGAAGGGCTGTTGGTTCAACCAAGAACCGTTTACCCCGTGTTGTTATGAACATGTGCATGGCGTCTGCATGGCTGTGTTGAATTTATATTGGTGTGTGTCAACTCTTCAGTTACCACTGGATTAGCAGTCAATAAAGCAACATAAATGGATGTTCAAGGCCCATTTCTACCAGATATGTTTGCACGGGTTTTGGTCTCTTATTTCGGTTGTATACTGCGCCATAACAAAAGTACGTGTATATATAGGCTATTTCATATGCAAGTGACGTCTTTTCGTTAGTTGTTTTTTAATCTGGATGATTGGTGGGAGTCGCAGGTCATATGTCAAATTTTAAACATTTGTATAGCATGAAGTTTTATTTCAAGGTCGTGCAATTAATTTTGTTTCAAGGTCAGGTGGTTCATTCTTTGCCTTTTAATGTTCCATAGGATACATATTGTGTACCAGCGTAAACGCCCATTGTTCGCTTGTGTTTGTCTGGAAGTAAACTGCACCGAGGTTGTGAAATTGCATACCTGTTTGTTATGATCATTTTATATATTCCCATTGGTCAGTTTTTGCCGTCTTGTCACATTTTGTGATTGCGTCATGGATTGCATTAATGTCAAGCAATGGAACAATGGTGAACTGAATTTCTTTGTGCTATGAATCCGTTTGTACACGCTTAGCAACTGTAGGCTTTCTGGTGAGAGAACAGCAGGACAGTGCGAGGATGTTTTCCTCACTTTGCACGTTTTCGCCCCTTTTGAGGGTTTTTTTTTTCTTTCGCTTTCGAGGTTTTCCCCCCATAAAATGCCCCACCCCCGCTCGAAGCTTCCATCTCTCGCGATTTTCTGCAGCTTTCCTCGTCCGTTATATTATTCTGGATCCGTCGTGGTTTGGCCCCGTTACTATTCCCTTT